TGTTGTGTGTCATCTGTACCTACTTGGTCTCACCGTATATTGTTTTAGAAAAATGGTTAAATGGATTTGGAATCATGAGAGTATTTGTATAGCTCCTTGAAGAACACATAAGAACAATACTGTAAGTTTAATATTGTACTGGGTTTTTGCTAATGTAACTTAAAATCTTATCAAACAGTGTCTTTTACTCTTTATAACAAGATGGGTTGTATTCTTATGATGAACCAAGCCTGAAACCACAGAGTGTCACAAGGACCAAACTGGTCATTATATTTAAGGACTCCAGATTTTGCTGCTAATCTATTAGAAACTTGGCAGGGTGGCTGTTGGGAGCCATCTGTATTAGCCTCACATTGTGGGGCCATGTGTTGTAGCCTGCTGACTTCGGGACTGCAATCTAGACTAGCCGAACAGTCCTGGGTCCGTTCCTGAGTAGGAGAGTGTGGATGAGGGAAGGCTAGCTATCAATGGTAAAGAAAAGACAGAGCCATAAGATATATCAGGAGGGCTGTCTCAATCAATACTGATGCCGCCACAATTTAATCATACACCATTTTAAGTAATTAACCAAAGGTGAGCACAAAGGCAGAAGACTACTATTATCATGTATAAAGGGCAGATAGCAATTACTTCCCTTAATCCTAAAGACACTCTGTAGCTTCATGTACTCTTGGCTTTCAGGGACTCCATGGCTGCATGTATCATCTTAGCCTTCAGGATGAGTATAAACTCATCTGGGCATAGGTCTATTATTATTTAGACCACGGAGTCCAGTACATCCTATAGCCATTAAGCTAACATCTTAAAGACAATAGAAGTTACTTGGGCTCTCTGAACTCCTGAAAGGATGGAATAGATTTCCAATATATGGACCCTGACAGGTAGGTGGCAGGGAAAGAGAGGGATAGAGGAGCATGCTGGAACTGAACTCCCTTTACCCTTTACCCAGAGGTTACAGGCCACTGAAACTCATTTTCAATTGGATCAACCAGGAAAGAACATTAAGGTTTATCTTTAAACATGGATTTTGTTTAGAACCAATCAGAATGCCCCCAGTGTAACTGTAAAGGAAGTCAGAAAATATAGCTGGGTAGACCATGGCTCCTGGAATTATTGTCATGAAGCTCTATTTACCTGCCCACAGTGCCCATAATACCTTCCCTTTTTCCCATTAGCAGGTATAATTGATCCCATTTTATTGTGATGGGTGCTAGAAGATCTCCAAAAATGAATGAAATGATAAATTCTTTTTCAAGCAGCCTTGTCAATTTCAAAAGCACCCCAGATATACAGATGTACCTGAAGGGACCAGTCCCCTGTTTTAGCAGCCATGACAGGCTAACATGTGCTCTTCTGACCTTGCCACTCCTATCCTGGTTACTAGGAGGTCAGATGCCCTCCTTGTGGCAAGGAGCCAATCAGAAGTTACCTGGTGGGGCTGTGCTTTATGGCTCTGGGTGTGCTTTACAGACAAGTGCACAACAGTGATGTGCAGAGCACAGCAACCACCCTGGGAGGGCCTATGGACCACAACAACCAATTGACCAATCAATACAGGACACGTCATCCATGCCTGGAAATGCACCAATCCTGAGACGGTTGCATACCCCCTAGACACTCCCCTTACACTGCCTATAAGATCCCTGCCTCATGGTTTCTAGGGGTTTTTCTCCAGCCACACTGCAGTGAATGGATGAAAGGGTCTGAGTTAATGGGGTTAGCTCATTAGACAACTGTAATGAAAGACTCTTTGCTTTTGCATTGAAATGGGTCTCTTGGTGATTTTGGGGTTCAGAATTTGGGCACAACATACCTTGAGTTAAAAGGAAAATTGTTCAAAGAGGTATAAACCATGGTCTATGAGGAAGCTTAGAGAGGGACAGGTTGCTATGGAATCCTGAAGAGGCTACAGAGTTGATAACCCATTGACTGTGCCTGGGAGGGGCAAACAGATACCAGCTAAACATGGACAAAAGGCAGGGAATGAGAAAAGAGAGAAAAAGATAAGAAGCTAAGGGCTGGCTGAGCATGAGGATGAGGGCAATGAACCTGAATCCAAAGTGAGCAACTATGGGTGTAGACGCTTCTTTGGCTTCATAAGCCTTCGAGCAGTGTATGAATTCACTTTTGTTTATTTGTGGGACGTGAGTTGCTAGATTGGCAGATATCATTTTTTCCCTGTTTCCCCCATTGTTTCAGGTTATAAATAAAAATGTAGGGGACATTCTCACTTCAGTGTTCTGAATTCTCATCATACGAGTTCTCTTTTCACTGAATTATATTTTCCCCTTAAATTCTGAGTAATGTTAAGTAACAAATGGCCCGACTACATGCATTTATTAGCTGAACTTATTCTTAGTTCTACTTTCCATTCCTTCGTAATCCCAACAAATATTGACATACCATGCCTAGCTGTAGCAAGGAGATGGTTCAGAAAAGAATTCCCAAACATAACTTGAGGGAGGCAAGAAAATTAGATTCAGACTTTGGGTTTTCATTGGTTTGCTTGTGGTCCTGAGAATAAAGCATATGGTATTGCACCAGGCAAGCCTCATACTGTTAGGCTAAGCTCTCAGCCTTAAAAAAAAAGAAAAGAAAAGTTTTTTTTTTTATTTGGAAGTAGTGGTTTACAGCCTTTGGGTGCTGAACCCTTTGGGAGTTGCATATCCTTCATATTAGATATTTACATTACTCTTCACAACAGTAGCAAAATTACAGTTATGAAGTAGCTATGACATACTTTTATGGCTGGGGGTCACTACAACAGGAGGAACTGCATTAAAGGGTTGCAGCATTAGGAAGGTCGAGAACCACAGGTTGAAGCATTAGCTCACTAAGTAACCTTTGATGACCCTGAACTCGCTTCATAGCCTGGAAGCCCTGGTCTTCCTGTCTCAGCTGCACGACCCGGCCCAGCTAGATTCATAGATTTAAGTTCTAGAAAACCAGCACTTACAAAGAAAGCATGCTATGTTTCTAAAATGCTGAGTGTTGATGTTTGCAAGGTTGGCAATGGGTTAAATAAGACCAGAGACTGGAGAAAATAAGATAAAAATAAACAAATAAGAGACAGAAAGGGGAGAAGAGATTAAATTCAACAATTCCATGCTTTCTTTTTGTTTTTGTTTTATGAGACAGGGTTTCTCTGTATTGTTTTGGAGGCTGTCGGTCCAGCCCGGCCTCGAACTCACAGAGATCCTCCTGCCCCTGCTTCCCTCGTGCTGGGATTAAAGGCATGCGCAACCACCGCCCGGCTCCATGCTTTCTTATACTTCCTTTTCTTGGAAAAGAAATAAAAGAGGTGGATGAGTAGAAAAAAAATCTTAATAACAAATAACCAAGAACGTGACCTTGCTATGTCTTCATGTTGCTTCTTTTAAATGTTTATTACTTTTTCTTAGCAATGATATAAAGATATTCATAGTCTTTAGATATTCAATTGTTATCTTCTACAATATCTGTTAATGCTGAATTTATTTTTCCTCCTGAGAAAACAGGTTGTTTCTAAAATGTTCTGCCTTAACTTTTAATTTTGGAATTATAACATAATTAAAAACTTTTAACATTTATTACTATTTATTTTGTGTGTATTATATGTGTATGTATACATGTGTGTATATGCACATGCTTACCAGGCGTATAGAGGTTAGAGGACAGCTTAAAAGAGTAGGTCCTCTCTGCTATGTAGATTCTGAGCATCGTACTCAGGTTACAGGACTTGGTGGTATCCAATGAAGTTTTTTGGATGGTTACCACTCCACTGGATCCTCTCAAATTATCTCCTGATTGCTTTATATATCACTTTATATATTGTCCTGCTTAAGTCTATGCAAAACAATCCCCTTTAGTAATTGCAGAAGCTGAAATTCAAATTCTGCCCTTGCCTACAGACTGACTAGTTGGTGCAAAGTAATACATCCCAAATTTATTCAAGTGGTACCACTTTCCCGTCTCTGCCTCTAAATGTGTATAACGTGATTAATTGTAGACTGTGTCTAATGGCGTGTTGCATTATGAAATTAGGGAAGGAAAGGCCAGTTAAATAGACAGAAAACTTCGACGAAGTTCTCAAATGCAAGCACTTTTTCTTCCACACAGGTTTTTCTAATTAGAGTCCACTTAAAGATGTTAAAGAAAGCCAATCTTGGGTGTTGTCTAACCCTTCAGCTCCAACCCTTCCTCTTTTTAACTTCCCCTAGAAGGACATGTTAGGGGAAGAAACAAGATCAACATCTGTGCGTTAATTTTTGTCAAATAAGTAAATCCTGTCTTGAAAACTGAAATAATGTGAACCACAAAAGGGATAAGAATTAATTACAATCGACTCCCGCCACCCCTTACTCTCATACTTTCAGTGCCTTGTGCTGTTTTATGTTTCCCTTCTCCTTTCGCCTAAATTTCGTCTTTTCCTTAAAGGGATTTGGCTTTGACCATAATCTCTTTCTCTATCCTCAATCGGGCCAGCACTCACTACTGACAGAAATCCTGAACTGAATGAAGGGACGAAGGCATGAATGGACAGATGAGTCACGGAGCCCTTTCTGCCCTAGCTCTAAGAAGTCTTGTTCTTTTCTCTGCCTTCAGCAGCAGGCTCCTCTCGGCATCCTTATCTGGAGATTGCATAACAGCCTAAGTCTCTTGAGCCACCTCACACCTGCCTCCTCAGGTTGGGCGCCAAAGGGAGCAAGTCTGGGCTGCCCAGCCACCACCGATCGCTCCGGGTCAGAACTAAAACCTGAAGTGGAGTTTCGGGAGCCACTGAGCTAGCACGGACCAGCACCATCGTGGCGCCCGCAGGAGCATGCTCAGTGCGCCTCCCTTCCCTGAGCCCCCAGCCCACGTCCTCTTCCCGCGTCCTCCTGGGCACCGCACCCAGGCGCGCTCCCGGGCACCCATCCCGCCTCCGCTCCCGCACCCGTCCCCCTCCCCCAGGCCTCGGCAGGCGAGGACACGTCAGGGGACATAAATAAATAAATAATTCCATTCAGCCGGTGACAGCGAGGCGAGGCGGCTGCAGCTGGGCGGGGGGGACCGGGAGAGCGGCGGTGCGCGCACCGGGTGCCGGAGCCAGGTAAAGGCGGTGCTCCCTGGGAGGACGGGAGGAGGAGGACGAGGCGGGAGGAAAGCGAGAGTGGCTACCCAGAAACCGCACGCGGGTGCAGAGAGCCCGCAGCCCAGGCTGCCAGCCCGCGCGAGCTGTGTGCCCTGAGCCCTTATATAGACAAAATCCCGAAGCCGATCCAGGGCGGGCTCGGGCGGGAGATGCGGGGTCCCTGAGGTCCGGGGATCCAGAGATCTCAGGGCCCATGCCACCATCTGCTGGTGCAGCCCTGGCTCAGGGCACAGCAGGACAGTGGGCGGGCCCCGCCAGGCGAGTGTCCCCCTGCCCCCAACTGTTCCGCAGCATCTTCCCAGACCCACAGCATCCAGGGTGGTGTCCTTGCAGTTGGTGTGGATGGGTGGGGAGTGCATGAAGGGAATGGCCGCTCTTTCAGAAGAAGATTGGAGTCTGAGAGGAAGACAAGGTGTTCCCGTTTAGGTCCCCAGGAATCCAAGGTAGAGGCCACTGACAAGGTTGATACAGGAGAGGCTTGTGGCCTGGCCTAAGGGTTGTGCTGTCTTCTACGGGCTTGAGAAGGGCCTGTGCCACCCTGATGTCCTCTGGGCTTCCTGGATTAGTTCACCTCCCTGGGGGTGACAGTCTTGGCCAGGTAGGACAAATGGCTGTGAGCCCCAGGGGATGCTGCATCCCAGATGGCCTCTCCATCCTTACCTACTTCTGCTGCTTAAGAGAACTGCAGGTCGCTTTGGGAGGGGTGGTAGTGCTTTAGGCCTCTCTCATTCCTGGTTGGACTACTCTTGTTACACTTGGGAAAACAGCACACAGGCACACACCACACACACACACACACACACACACACACACACACACACACACAGCCCAATTTCTCTGCAAGTGGTTTTTTTTTTTTAATTCACTTTGGTGGAGAAATAAGGCTGGGCCTCATGGAGGGCTGTCTTATAGCCATTCAAAAGCTAATAGTCCATGTCTTCCTCCCTCCTCAAACCAGAAGGAAATGCAATGAAGGAATAAAAATAGCAAGGAGTGACAAACATATGACCCTAAAAAGCCCTGGCATGAGGAAATCGTGGGCATAAATGCTAGCACTCCAGACTTCAAGGCTGAAACCGGTCAGCAGACTCAGGAGGCCTTTCAAGGCCTGTTTAGGTTCCATTGACTGTAGTGTCACTCCAACCACAAAGGTGTGCGTTTAAAGTAGGTGACAGGAAAATGAGAGTTGGGTATGGGACTCAGAACAAGGTTAAGTCATGAGATAATGCTAATGTCATCGTCAGCTTCACGGTGCTGTGCATTGAAGTCCATCTAGATGAGAGGGTAACCAAATGATGTTAGTTACAGGGAAGGGCATGGTGGAAGGCAGCTCGCTTAGTCAGAGATGTTCATGTCATGATAAAGCTCTTGGGGAACCTTGGCAGATTCCGTGGCGGGCGAGGGGGACCGAGGTGGAGGGACAAACATGCCAGGCAGACAGAGCTTAAGTGAGAAGTTTTATTAGAAAGGGAGGAGGGGTAGAGATAAAGAGACAAAGAGAGGACAGAAGGGAAGAGGGAGACAGGAAAAGTCCTGTCTGCCCCAGGGGAACCGCAGGACAGGGAGAGCAGAAAGAGAGTGGGGAAGAGAGCAGGAAAGACATCTTAAGTGGTTGGGGGTCTGTCTTTTAAAGGGGTGCATTGCACCTCATGCAGACTATGTAGCAACCATGGAACCCTGGGCTGACCAGGGCACTGTGTGAGTGCATTGTGACAGTGGCAGGCCAGCATCATGCCTGAATCCTTACAGTTCATATTAATACTTTCTACTGACATACTGCTCTTTCCTCCTGTTTTTTTGTTTGTTTGTTTTTTCTAGCAGCTAACATTCTGAATTTTTGCAGGGAGCAGCAGAGGATCAAATCCAGGGCACTATCATTGTGCAATGTCCCTATCCAGTTTTTTTTAAACTTTTAGTTTGAAGCAGACTCTTGCTAAATTAGCCAGACTGGCCTTGGATGCTCTGTGTAGCCTATGGAGATATCACATTGGTCCTCTTCCCCACGGAGGGATTGCTGGCATGTACGACTCTGATGTGACTCTTCAGTGTCACCAACAGTTTCTTATCTACAAATGAGTGCACACTCCTATCAGTTCCAGTTTGTTTCTAGACACACCTGTTTCTTGTACGGCATCTGCCCTCTATTTCAGGCTTTCATCCTACCTCTAGGTATGGAAGGTAGGATGACTTCAAAGATGCTCCTTACCCAGAATCGTGTTTTGGGTTCATTAAAGCAGTGTCTCTCCATCTTTCATTTGATTCTGTACTCATTGAAACACTTGGGAAATATTTATGTGACAAAAGGAAACTAAGACCCAGAGTCACTAACACCCAGATACCAGGGTTGTTTCTGAGTTGGCAGGGATTTTTTTTCTCCCACAGAGTTATTTTGTTTAGAGGTGCTACCTACCATCCTACACATTTTTATCCTTCAAAGGTCCACATAAAATTCCCCAAAGGGAAAGGCATAAGAGTGAGAATCATTAAAAATGAAATTAAAAGATGCTGAAGAAGTATGATCCCCAGAGTCGAAATGCTGGAACTCTGTCAAGCAGTGATGTTCACCATGCAGTCCATGCCAAGATAGTATCCTTAGCATCTTTAGAATGCTATCTTCAGGCCTGCTGCTACTATTTTCTGTTAGCATCTAAGAACACTACAGAGTAGACTTGTCTATACTTACATTTACAGAAATGTTTAGGCACAGTTACAGGGCTTACTATGCCAGTGCAGTTTGGTAGTTTGTTTTATGTTGCTCTAACAAACTATCTGATGCTGCATTTGCCTCATGATATGGATCACTGGAAAACCCAAATATCATGGTACTGGCATCTTCTTAGTGTCTCTTGGAAAATGATAACAAAGTAATGTAGTAAAGTAAACAGGTACATACAAAAGTGGCCAAACATGTTGGGTGGTCTTAAGTTTTAACAAACTGCTCTCCTGGTGACTAGCCAAGTTCTACTTCCCCTAACTAATCTCCTGAGAAGCTTTACTCCTATAGGAGTTATACCCACAAAATCCCATCTTCTCTTTCAAGTCTTCAGCACCTTTATGTAAGTAGTTCAGAGTTCTACATGCATGTTGGTGAGGACAAACCAGGTTCAGGCTACAGCAACTCATGGATGAACAGGCTACCTGATCGTAATATAGATTCTGTCTTGTATGACATTAATCAAGGGCAAATGCTTTTTTGTCTGTTGTGGTCTTCAGTGCCTGGCACGTGTACTACTGAAAGACAGATAACAGGAAGAATGCTGTCAAGATGGACAGAAGTGAATATGGGGGAGAGGAGGAGAATGAAACCAGCAAAGAGCACACTGACCTCTTCTGTCTCCAGCTCTAATTCAGGCAGCAAGTACCATGGGGTTTCCGCCCTCAAAGGCAGGATAGCTGAAATCCTTTGTAGGAATCCCTGGTGTTTAACAGAGCCATCTAGTTTGTGAGGCTTATTTGTGTGAATTAGAAAACTGTTTTCTCTTGCATGATGAATTAGCAAAAGGAGCACATAATACCATAATATCAGAACAAAGTCCATTCTAAGTAGACAGGAGAGCTAGTCAACAAAAGGCTCCTTTAGGGTCTGGGCTTAAATGGCTGTTAAGATGGGGCAATTGGCTTTGCCCTATGTCACATGAGAGTTGTACTTCCAGGATACTTTTTAACACCAAAGAGGATACTGAATGTGAAATGTTGTAAATGATGACCAACAAATAGAATGGCCTGCAACAGTTACAAAAGGCTTCCCTCACTGCCTCGTCTCCCTTCCTACCCAGTCTTCTAACCTATTTCAGTGGTTAAGACCCTCCTGTTCCCAGGACTTGACACTGTCTGTCTTCATCAGGATTCTCTTGATATTGACCTGGGAGTCTCTTCACCCAGACTCTTCCATTTTACCTTATATTCTGCTTATTTGGAGAAGCATCCTATCTATTTTTCTGGGCTTCTTCGTCTTGAGAGCAGGGGTCATATCTGACTAATCTCGGAATCTGTGTGACTTGGATAGAGCAGAGGTCAAAGGTCAAAGCAGGTGCTTGGAAGATTAGCCTGTCTATGTTATGATTTTGTTTTTGGTTCTGTCTTGAACCAGTTAGCACTAGTGGTCAAACCTCTTCAAATCTTGGTTCCTTCTTTGTAAAAAAGAAGTTAAGAGCAAATTTCATATTGATTACAAAGATTAAATGGAATAGTATTTAGAACCAATTCATGCATAGAAATAATTTAAGGCAATAGTAGCTAGCCAATATTAACACTGGCCTTATGGATTAACAGGTCATTTCCAACATCACTGGCTTATTTATCTTAACTAATTGGAAACCCTAGGCAGATGATATATTGGTGGTATATAATTGAACATTGAATACACTTTTGTTTTGTTTTGTTTTTGTTTCTTGTTTGCTTTTTGTTTTTGTATCCTGCTTTGTGGCAGGTTTCCTCACGGGATTAGCCAGGTATACATATTTATTATTCCAGCTCTGGGAGGTAGAGGCAGGATGATTAAGAGCTTCAGTACCAGTCTCAATTCCATAACTCTTCGAAGGCCATCCTGGGCTACATAAGATACTTCTAAAATGATCTTTAAAAATGTGGATCAATGTGTCAGGAAGAGCACTGGGAAATGGCTGTGTAGTGGTACTTAGTGAGTAACAGAACATTTAAAATAATTTCAGAGAAAGCTGTATTTTCTCACTTAAATGTTGGACTCAGAACACCAGTCTACCAGTTTAGACGATCCGGTGCTTTACACCCACTGTATGATGGAGCATCCTAACATAGACAGTTTGTGGAAATGTAAATATTGATAGCCCCACCCATATGTGACATCCAGTAACTACATGGGATTGCTCTGTGTGTGAACTGAAAAATCAAAACTATTAGATTAGAATGTAAACGATCCACGGTTCCACCCCTAGCACTATAAGAAAACAGAAATAATTAGTTATAAATTAACCATTAAG